CCTTGATTGGTAGAGTGGCAGTGGCAGTGGGAAGAGCAATTAAACTCTAAGCTGTTTGTTTCAGCAATCCATCCCCGCGGCTCACCTCTAGCAGGCGTGTGGTTTGCAGCTGCTTTTTGCTAACTTGAAGTCACAGGCTGGTAAATGCCTGGGGGTCTCAATCTGTCTCCTCGCTGCTTCGCACTTTCCGAGCTGGAGATCAGGGTGGGAGGGAAGGATTGGAGGGAGAGGGAGGAGGAAAAGGAGGGTGTGTGTGTGTGCTGCTTTCTGAGCTGGGAAGGATTGGAGGAAGAGGGAAAGGAGGCCACACCCACGCATACACACACACACGCTTTGCATTTTCCGAGCTGGAAATTGGGGTGGGAAGGAAGGATTGGAGGGAGAAAGGAGGTGTGCGTGCGTGCGTGCTTACTGGAAATCAATAGCCATTTTTACAGTACTGCACAAAAATTACTTTTTCCTTATCTCACTCCTTAATTTTCATTAATGTGCCATGAATAGCCAATGCAGATATGCATGCTTCAGCAGGTGAATCATTTTGTACAGAAATCAGCAAGGTTTAAATAAGTTAAAAATTACAACAAGCAACTACTGAAATATCTGTCAGCGCGTCCTCTTCGGTGCCCAGAAAAGAGCCGACAAACAGGAACAAATGACAAGCGAATGGCCTTTAATCCATACAGCAACAAAGTTAGCACTGGGAGTGAGTTGCTCCCAGTGCTTTACATAGGCTCCCGCTTGCTGTTCCCACCCCCCCGCCCGGCAAACCAGCATCCGGCCTGTGGTGAATAAAAGCAATTAGCAGAGGTGTCACCCCCCCCCCCCGCTCCGCTTGATGTGCCATTCTCTCCATGGCGTTCCAGGAAACAGAGTAAGGCAAGTTCCTCTTTCCCTTGCTGTCTCTCATTGTGCTCCCTGTCCCTAAGTGTCTCTGGCAGTCTGGTTGCTTGGACTGGCAAGGCGCTAGTCCATAGGCTGACCCTGCTGTGAACCCAGTAGCCCGAGAAACCAAAGGCATCAGTCACGATAGCCAGCCAGCAGCCTGCAAAGTCCCCCCGGCGCCTGTAAGTGCGTCACAGCCAACCTCCGGCATCCGTTGGCCACGTGTCTTTCTGGCTTGCGCCTACCAGCTGGGAGAAGGTTTGACGGGACAGGCCCCTGCCAGTATGTGTCGACCCCACGGGGTATCAGGAGCCGGTCAGCCAGGTGGCAACTGGGCGACGGGTCCAGTTTGCCGAGTGGCAGCTGGGCGGCGGCAATACCACAGCCGGCCTCGCGTCTGCTCGTACAGGTTAGCCCCGCGGGGCTCGACAATATCATTAAACTATGCCTAGCTGCTTTCTGCTGAAAGTGGATAGTGTTATATATACTCAATGTTTTTACAAGCTACATATCTAAAGGCATACAGACACATTTAAAAATACTCCTAGAGAAGTCTACTGAAGGATAATCAAAATTATTGCATTCTTGTCCAAGGATCAGAATAAAGTGATACAACTAAAAATATTTTTGGCAGCTAAGGAACTTTCCCTTTTATATGGATATAACTATGAAGTAAAAAAGAGATATTGGTCTAGTTTTGAAGAAAAATCATACTTAAAATGTCAAATTTCAGGCAATATTACACAATAAAATAATACAGCACATCTGAAGTTCTAACTTGGTTGGCCTAATTTAATAGCAGATTGAAGAAAAAGCATTTTCCAGGGCATTCATAAACAATATCTGTTCTAAGTCTGTTAACATCCTACAACAGTGATGGCGAACCATTCAGAGACCGAGTGCCCAAACTGCAACCCACTTATTTATTACCGGGTGCCAGGTGGGCATGGCCCACTGGATGGGCATGGCTGTGGTGGTCATGGCAGATTGGGTGGTCATGATCACCAAGGTGGGTGTGATCACCTCAATGTTGCTCATGGGGAGGGATGCAGAAACAGTAATCAAGTCTTTCAAGAAGTGTGGCATATCAAATTCATTAGATGGTATGGAGGATGACTACTTGTGGCAAGATGAAGAGGAAGCTGAAGCTGAGACCACACCATCTGATACGGAATTCGATCCATATGATGACTGCCTTACAAATGTACCACAAGATGTCATTGATATTTTTATGATATCAGATGATGAACAGGATGATTTTGAAGGCTTTTAAAGGGAAACTGTCACGCAAGCAAAACCTGTAAAAATAGCTTGCAGTTATGATGGGCGTTGCTGACTCGCCAGGGACTTGCCCGGCACTTGCTCTTTCTATTGTTTTTTATCTTCCTCCTATCATCATCAGTTCAGTTTGGTTGACAGCTTAGAAAACAAACAGCATGGCAGCTCCCATGGTTTTATTGTCTTATCCTTCCTTTCAGCTTTAGAGTGAATTAGGAAAAGTTTAATCCACTTGCACTGTTTTATGTTTATATGTTTGATGACAGCCTTATGTTTATAAATGACAGTTTTTCTGCTAAGTACCTGCATGTCATAAGCATTTGAATTAAAATTACCATATTGAAATCAAATCTGATGTTTTTTAATTTTTATTTGGTGTGCGTTGGAAGAGGGGTAGTCTTATACGGTGAGTATAGCCCAAACTCTATATTTTAACTGGAAAAGTTGGGGATCGTCTTATACGCCCAGTCGTCTTATACGCCGGAAAATACGGTACTTTTGTTTCTACTTGGAAACCGCTTCTGGAATTTGTGCTTGAGATAAAAAAGAAAAAAGAAACTTTGATTTTGAGTTTTACTGTCTAGACAGATCTGTTGTTATAGAAATGGCTAGTTTATACTATCATGTAAAAGTAAAAATTTGAAGTTTGATGTTACTTCTTATTCTACTGCATCAAAGTCAATGCCTTTTTTCTTTTTCTATTCTTCTCTACATTTTTCTCTTCCCTTTTTCCTCCCCTACTTTTTCTATTATTTGCTTTTTTGTATTTTATATTATAAACTAATAAAAAACGAAACAAACAACTATTAAAGAAGAAAAACATATACTGGCTAATTGCCTAAAGGCAGACAAGAACAAACATTGGTGCAAGTTAGAAATTGGAACATAATGAAATAAAAACAAGAACAGAAGATTGATAAGGTAAAGCATTACAAAAAAATCAAGGGGAAAGTGGATAAATAAAAAACTTGCCAATGTCTTACAAAATCTGAAACATTATAAAAAAGAAACTTAAGGTTTGATTATGGCTGTTTGAAAGCAAGCTATTCAAGCTAATGTAATGAAGAATTGAAAAATGGCCAAATGATTCAAAGTGCAGATTGTGCAAAGAGGCAGAAGAAACAGTAGATCATATATTCAAATTGGGCAAGAAGACTGCATAAACTGATTACAAATAACAAACATAATGCAATTGCCAAATGATTCACTAGAATATCTTTAAAAATTATCATGTGTCAGTAATGAAAAACTAACGAGAAACTTCAATATTGTGGAATTTTTGAAGACAAGTTGATAAAGTATTGGCCATAACATACCTGATTTAACTTTGATTGATAAGAAGGAAATATGAATAATTAGTGAGCAATACCAAGGAACAGTAGAATAGAAGCCAAATAATTGAAAATCACAAAGTATCAAGATCTGAAAATTAAAGCTAAAAGATTATGGTGTAAATTGGATGTGGTGGTCCCAATTATCAGCACACTGAATATCATAACAAAAAACAGCATTTGGAAATCTGCACATTGACAACATTTCTACTGTCAATTACAGAAAGACACATTGCTTAGATCTACACATACTGTGTAATGTACCGATATGTTACAACATCCTTGTAAGTTCTTCTTTTGAAGAACTCGGTGCATATGAAGGCCAACACTAGTTAGAGATGGCAGCTGTGATTTCACATTGTTGTATATACAATAATAACACATCCCATCCAAATATTGCTCCAAAGAAATGCTATCCCCATATCTGGTTTATACATATTTTATTTACTAATATGATTGATATTGTTACTCATCTCACTGTAGCAACTTTGAGTGGTGAACATCAGATAAAAAATACAATTCAAAAAATATACAATGAAATATATTAATAAAATCTATAATAGCCATTGAGGGCAAACTGAACAAACAGTTAAAAAACAATATCTTATGGGTTCCCGCCTACTACAGATCCCCTTTTTTCTTGTTCATACCTTTAAATGTTAGTATCAAAATCAAAATATGCATCACAAGATGAAAATTTTGAAATGTTCATCAATTTCCTATAGTAATCAACACCAATCAGAAGACAATGGTGAAACTAAATCATAGGACCTAATTGGTGTTGGATTGAAGGTATCTGCTGTTCATTTTGTGTGTACTTCCATTCAAGCCAAGAACGACACCCTCATTCATTCCAATCTCAGTTGCAGGATGAATGAGGCTTAACTTGCATCAAATTTATCTCTGACTGGAAACTGGAGTCTGTATTTATCTCAGATCAGATCTCATTAACAACACTGGAGGTACATATGAAAGTCTCAGTGTTATTACTGTCTGTGCACGTTCATTTTTCTATTATCTCTCTTTGTGTATAGCCTTTGTAGGTTCTATTGCACTTTGAAATTCTGCAAAACTTGTTAGACCAGATATGAATGTTGGACACACAAAAAAAATAAAAGGATATACAAACAACTGTCATATCTCTGAAATATAAGGTCTGTTTGCAGTCTATATCTTGATCTTTCACCCAGCAAAACAGACTAATGGCTCTCTCTGATTGTTGCGGTTGTATGGTAGTTGTTACAGTCTATACCTTCCTTAGGCAAGGAACTTTGTAAGAACCTTAAATGTTGCATATTTCATATTCCATTCCTTGAATAAATGCTAAACATTAACTGATTCTCCTGCAGCCTAATAAATCAAGTGTCCTTGGTGCCACGTTGATAGTTTGACAGTTTAGAAAAGAAATCTATGACTTGAAAATAGTGCAGATGATTCCCAAGTACTCAAACAGGATGTGATTTTGTTCAGCATAGCCATATACTATTTGTAGCACCATATTCTATTATTTCAGACCTAAAAATAAAATGAAAATGTAAAAAAATTTCTAAGTCAAGGAGATACATCCTCATGTTTCTGTTAAGTTATAATAAATTTACTACTTTCCTACATAAATGTATGAGAATTAGAAATTTATCACATAAAATGGGCCTGCTGGCTCAGTCTGATCCCCACTATTCAGTTGTTTATCCTGGTTTGCCCCCCCCCAACCAAACAATTTTCCCATTGTTCACATTTGGGAAGGATCTCAAAAAATGAAATGGATACTTTTCTTCCCTGTAGTTTTAATAATTGCTCCCTCTTAAAATTCCTACAATGAAGTTATAACCACTATAATAACCTACAGATCATCACTTCTTTCTGTAGTCCTCCAGACAAGGTACAAGCTAAATGCGACCCCCTAAGACAAGTAAAAATTGCCTGCTGAGGTGGTATAGAATTGGATGATTTCACAGTTCAATAGGAAAGATGAATAAAAGTAAAGCATCCCTTCTCTACAAGGACTAGAATATTATGAGGAAATATTTTTGAGAGATGGGGCATTGTCTTACCTGAATGCCTTTTCTCAGCATGATGATGGAGAATCCACAAGCGGGTTGTCTTAATCTACCTGCTCCTATCAGACTAAGTCTAAAGTAAAGTCACGCCTCTGTTGTGCCCCTATACCCAGTTTAAGACTAAGGCGATGCACAGACGTTAGTCCGACACATCTGTCTTCCTAGCATGAATGAGGGCCAACTGACTCTAGCTGGGAGGGGGTGGATTCTCCATCATCATGCTGAGAAAAGGCATTCAGGTAAGACAATGCCCCTTCTCCAGCATGATTGGATGGAGAATCCACAAGTGGGACCTACCAAAGCCCTGTGTCCCTAAGGGAGGGAGTCAGTATGGCCCTGCGTCCCGCTAGAGGGCAACATGCTCTGCAAGACTCTGCGACCGAAGGAGGTATCCGAAGAGAAATATTTGTCAGTCTTGTAGTGACGGACAAAGGAGGAAGGGGAGGACCATGTGGCCACTCTGCAAATTTCTCCTATAGATGCCTGGGTCGCCCAAGCTGCGGAGGTAGCGGCACCCCTGGTGGAATGGGCCATGATATTTCTAGGGACATTCAGTAAATGTGTCCTATATGCCAGGGCAATGCAGGACCTAATCCACCTCCCTATTGTAGTTGAAGAAACTTTCTGACCTTTAGCCAAAGGCTGTAAGGAAATAAACAATGCCTCTGATCTGCGGAAGGCCGAAGTCCGATTGATAAAATGCTGCAAAGCTCTGTGGATGTCCAGTGTGTTCCACTGTCCTTCAGTGTCATGGGATGGGTTAGGACAGAAATCTGGCAAAACTACTTCCTGGGACCTATGGTATAGGGAGTTTACCTTGGGAATAAAGGAAGGGTCAAGTCTGAGGACTACCCTGTCTGAGAAGAAAATGCACAGGTCCTCTCTGACTGAAAAGGCAGCCAGCTCTGAAATTCGCCTGGCCGATGTGACCGCCACAAGGAATGCCACCTTCATAGATAACAGATCTAGTGGACATGTTTCCATAGGTTCAAATGGAGGTGCAATGAGTGCCTGTAAGACCTGGTGAAGGTCCCATGAAGGGTATCGGTGCACTGTCGGTGGCCTGGCATTGGTTGCTCCTTTTAAAAAGGAACGAACCAAGGGGTGGTGAGTCAGCGGAGTGGCATTGTCACACGTGAGTACCGTAGTGAGAGCAGCAACCTGTCTATGGATAGTGTTCGGTGATAATCCCTTATCTAGCCCATCCATCAGGAATTCCAATACAACTGGAACTGAGACACCCGAAAGCTCCACCCTGTGCCCTGCGCACCAAGTGCAGAAGCTCCTCCAAGTGGCATCATATACTCTATTCATCGAAGGGTGCCTGGATTGCTGAATCACGGCTATCATTCTCAACGAATATGAGTCCAGACTCAAGGCCCGCCTCTCAAGTGCCAAACGATTAGTTGGAGCCACTGCTGGTCCAGGTGCTGGAGTTCCCCTTGGGTGAGGGAAATACGACCTGCCAGGATCCTCCATGGAGATGAGATGGAGAGCTCCATCAGGTCCACGAACCACGGTCGCCTCGGCCAATGAGAAGCAACCAAGAGAACCTCTGCCCGTTCATGTAAGAACTTGCAGATCGTAGCGGGCAGGAGCAGGAAGGGAGGAAAAGCATACAGCAGTTCCCTGGGCCAGCGACTGCAGAGGGCATCTGTCCCCTCTGCTGACAGAGACAGAAACCTGGAAAGGGATCTTGGAAGTTGGGAGTTGGTTGGAGAGGCAAAGAGGTCTAAGGTTGGGGCACCATATCTATCCACGATCTCCCTGAACACTCCCAGATCCAGTCTCCACTCACCATGGTCTACAGTGGCTCTGCTTAGTGAGTCCGCCTGCTGGTTGGTCATTCCGGATATGTGCTCCGCCTGATGGAAGCAAGGTTCCACTCCGCCCAGGACCCCAACAGCTGGGCCTCCTGCATGAGAGTTCTAGACCTTGTCCTCCCCTGCCTGTTCACATGGGCCTTGTCTGTGAGCACCAAAACATGCTGACCCGCTATCATGTTGCTGAAATGCTGTAGGGCCAGATGAATGGCTCTGAGCTCCAGCCAGTTGATATTGTTTCTCAAATCCTCCTGAGACCAACGACCCTGGGCCCAGAGAGACTGGAGATGCGCTCTCCAGCCGAATAGACTGGCATCTGTGGTGATGATGACTCTGGCTTGTTCCATGAACTCTGTGCCCTTTGACAGCACTGGAGAGGTCCACCATCGAAGGGAGTTCAATGCCGACCACGGAACTCGAACCTTCTGACTGGAAGCATTGATGTGTCCCCTCTGAAATGGGAGAAGAATCCACTGCAGCTCCCGAGCATGAAGACATGCCCACGATATGATGTGCACACAGGATACTATTTTCCCCAGGAGCTGAGATAATAAGGCTAAAGTGACTACCTTGTCCTTCAGTATCCGCTGTACAAGGGCCCTAATGCTGTCCTGTCGGTCCTAAGGCAATTGCTAGTGTCTATTATAGCCCCTAAATGAAGGAGCCAGGTTGATGGTATAGTGTGGCTTTTCTGGAAATTGACAGAAAACCCGTGCTCCTGGAAGTCCTGACTGCAAGGGCGAGGTCTGACTGGGCCTTCTGGAAGGATGAGGACTATATTAATATGTCGTCCAGATAACATTGGACTCAGATTGGAATCTGTCTCAGGTGGGCTGCTAGTACTGCCAGTACCTTTGTAAATACTCTGGGTGCTGCCGAGAGGCCGAGTGGTAGGGCTCTGTATTGGTAGTGTTGGTGGGCATAGCAAAGCCTGAGAAATTTGCGGTGCCCAGGGAGAATAGGAATATGAAGATAAGCCTCAGTCAAGTCTATCAATGTCAGGAAGTCGCCTCTTCGTATGCTGGCCAAGATTGATTGCAATGATTGCATTTTGAACTTCCTGTACATCAGATAGTGATTTAACCTTTTTAAATCTAGGATTGCCCTCCAACCCCCTGAAGACTTAGGAACAACGAACAGGGTTGAATAAAACCCCCGTCCTGCCTGGTCTTGCGGCACTGGTTCTATGGCCCGTATTTGCAATAGGTGAGATATGGCCTCTGACATGAGGGCCGCCCTGTTCTTGCTCGTGGGGGTGGGGCAAATTCGGAACCGATCCGGTGGATCGGAACGAAACTCTAACATTAAGCCCCGTGAGATGTATTCAGGACCCATGAGTCCGTAGTTGTGGCTGCCCATGCGTCATAGTAAAGGGACAGCCGGCTTCCTATGGGAGGTATGCCTGAGGACTCACTTGCCCCTTCTGAAGGGGTGTGCTCCCGGGCCTTGAAAGGGCCACTTGCCCTGTGCCTGTGGACGGGATCTGGGTGCGGGGCGATCCTGTTGTCGCTCCGGCCTCTATAGTAGGAGCGATTGGACTGGGCCCAGTCCAGCTTGAAACCGGCTGAAAGGACTGCCTATGCTGGAAGGTCTGGGATGACCCAGTCCCTGTGCGTTTGTCTCCCTTCTTATTGGTATTAACTAGGGACTTGCGCTTGTCCTTACCTTCAACCAGGTACGGTTCTAGAGCTGCACCAAAAAGATTACCTCCAGCATAAGGCTTGGTGGTGAGGCACCACTTTGCTTTGAGGTCTGCCCGCCAGTTCTTAAGCCACAAGAGTCTGTGGGCTGAAATATCTGCTGCTATGGCCCGTGAGGAGTACCTGGTGGAGTGTAAGGAAGCGTCAGCCAAGTACTGGAATGTGGAATGTGGCTACGAGCTTGCCCAGGTTTGATGGACACGAAGCTGGTCAGGAGGAACCATATCTTGAAGCTCACGCAGCCACAGAACCGAAGCCCTAGCGAAGAAGGCCATGGATGTGGAGGCCTTAATCGCCCAGGCCATTGCTTGATGTGCTCTGTTTCAACCCTTTTGTCCTGAGCCTTAAGGGCTTCGGTTATGTCCCCTGGAATATTGATGTTGGGAAACAGGGACATCAAAGGCTCATCAACTTGCGGAACCTCCAACAAGGAAGCGAGAGATGGGGCCACATTAAACAGGTTCCTCTCTGGGGATCCTGGACTGGGAAGAGACCCCAGGTTATCCCACTGTTTCTGCACTGCGTTGAGGAAGAAAGGGGGACAAGGGATGTGATTCTGCGGTACCACCGGCTCAGCATATAAGGCATTGGGGTCCTTTGACACAGAAGGAGCTGAGGCCGCCTGTTCCGGGGTAAGGTTAGCTGTGGTGCAAGCCTTGAGGAGCAAGGAGTTGAAGAGGGAATGGTTGAAGAGTCCGGTAGGTGGTACTAGATCCGATGCTGGGGTGACCTCATCATCCGATAGGATCTGGCGAGAGGAGTCGTAGTCATCCGATCCCGACTCCGATGAGACATCCTCTGTGAGGCCTGGTGAGTCAGGACGAGGTGGAGGCTGTAGAGCTGTGGCCTGAGGGAGATGTTGTGGGGCAGAGGCAGCCATGAATTGGGAAAGGGCCTGAGCAATCATGGCCTGAACCTGCTCTGGTCCTAATAGTTGGCTTTCTGGGGAACGAAGTCCTGCTGCGATGGGCATAAAGGTGGCTGAAGGTCCACCTATGCCCTGGACAGCAGGCCTTTGCACTATCAAATCCAGTGCTGACCCATCACGGTCAGTCTGCACCACTTCCCTAGGAGGAGACCAGGCCCCTGGGGCAGAATTGCAGTGAACGAATAGGGGCTCAAATATGGACCCTCCAGTAGGAATGGTGTCCATGGGCCCTGGAGTAATTGATTTTGCCCTGGATGAATCCTGTTCCCAAGATGGCTGAGGGACAGGGTTCTCTCTGCTAGCTGCCCTAGGCCTCTTAGAGGGCTTTGCCTTGGCCTTGGATGTATTCCATCCCGCTGCCTTAGTAGAGGCTTTGTGCTTCCTTTTGGCAGGGGGCTCTGTAGTATCCTTTGAGGATGCAGGATAGGAATTGTCTGCCATGATCCCTGGAAACTACTTATTGCTATTGTTAATAGCCCAGTTGCTGATGTAATAGGCCTTAGGATGATCAATTCAGTGGTGAACCGCCCCCTTCAAGCGTTGTAATCAGCCACTGAAGATCCAATTTTCGATGAACGTTGCACCCAGGTGAGGGGGGGTGATGGGGGTCAGATAAAGGCGTGCGTCCTTGTAGGGACGAGCTTGCCCTCCCAAGGCCAGACTGTAGGCGACGAGTAGGCCGGAATTCAAAATGGAGGCTGTAACAAAATGGCGACTGTAAGAAAAACGCGCCAAAAATTCCCCAGCCTATCTGCCTCAGAGACTGTAAACAACTCAGTTGAGGCCTCTGGAATGAGCCCTGCTCCTTTAAGAAGCTTCTGGGCTCCTTTAACTGGTAATTCATCAATCTAACCTGCATGAGTCCACCGATGCTGTCTGTAATCCTCTGATGAGCAGCTGGAGAGAGAGGCCTGCTCCGCAGCTCAAATGCCTTGCAGGAGGTCTGCAGACAGATAGGGAGGCCTCCGACACACAGGAGTCTCAACCTAAGCTGTGTAGCCTGTCCACTTACTTAGGGAAGCTTCCGACGATCTGGAAAGCCTCCGATTGCCCGCTGATGCTGTACAGGCCTCTGACGATCAGCTGCTACTCTGAGAGGCCCCCGACGATCGAAAGGCTCTCAGGAGGGCCTCCCACGATCGGAGAGGACTCCGATCCTCCGATGCGTTTGCCCACGCTGGGATGGTCAGCTGGGTGTTGGTAGGCAAAAAGGGAGGCTTTGCAAGCTAATCAAGCTTCAATGCCCTGTCTCCCTGAGCCGATGAGGCTGGAAAACCTTGTGTACTCACGAGGAGCCCTGTGCTTCGGCAGGGAGTCAAGCCTGAAGGCTGCAGGGCAGAAGAAAGCTGTAAAAGATCAAGTGAGAAGATGCAGGGAAGCCAGAAGGGTCTTCCCAATAAAGTAGGGTAAGAATTATTTTTTAAAAAAACTAGAGTTTATGCTATGAAAAATGTGTCTAAGGAGCAAAAGACTAAGTCAAAAACTGGGTATAGGGACACAACAGAGGTGTGACTTTACTTTAGACTTAGTCTGATTGGAGCAGGTAGATTAAGACAACCCACTTGTGGATTCTCCATCCAATCATGCTGGAGAAGATATTTTTAACACAGCAAAGATGTAGCAAGATAAAAGCTTGTCATTGTAGCAACAGGATGGCAGCCCCATTCTTTTGAGACTCTTTTGAGCAAAGGTGAATTAATCATTATGTGTCAACTTCTGCAACGAACCTAGCTGATGCTACCTTTGTCATTCATTCTCAGTTGCCACAGAAAGAGAAGGGGGAGGAATCAGGTTGCTTTTACTTTTATTAGACTAAATATGGAATGATCCTGTGGGAACCAAGGTCATTTTCACTGGACCCTAAAGGCGGAGAGAACAACTGTCGAGAAGATTGCCAAATGCATTTAACAATAACATTAATAACAAAAATAGAGTTGGAAGGTATCTTGGAGGCTTTCTAGTCCAACCTCCTGCTCAGGCAGGAAACCCTATACTATTTCAGAAAAATGACTGTCCAGTCTCTTCTTAAAAACTTCCAGTGTTGGAACATTCACAACTTCTGGAGGCAGGTTGTTCCACTGATTAATTGTTCTAATTATCAGGAAATTTCTCCTTAGTTTTAGGTTGCTTCTCTTTCATTAGTTTCCATCCGTTGCTTCTTGTTCTACCTTCAGGTGCTTTGGAGAATAGCTTAACTCCCTCTTGTTTGTGGCAACTCCTGAGATATTGGAACACTACTATTATGTCATCCCTCATCCTTCTCTTCATTAAACTAAACAAATCCAATTCCAGCAACCGTTCTTTATATGTTTCAGTCTCCACTTCCATAATCATCTTTGTTGCTCTTCTCTATACTCTTTCTAGAGTCTCAACATTTTTTTTTACATCATGATAACCAAAATTGGATGCAGTATTCCAAGTGTGGTCTTACCAAGGCATTATAAAGGGGTATTAAAACTTCACGTGATCTTGCTTCTTGCTTCTTATTGGATAATGTGATCAGTAGCATAATAGAAGGGAGAGAATTGTTATATTTAATTACTTGAATCTTTGGGGGAAAGTTTAGAGTTGGTTTCACTTTTGATCATGCCTATTTTTTGTATCCAATAAATATGTTCTTAGAGAAATTCTACGCCTCAGAGTTCTACTTTATTCGGTTTCATTAGTCAGAACCTTTACATTAAACCAACTCTGATAAAACTTTTCCTGCTCCAGGATAGAGGGCTATCGTGAAGCGAGCTATGGGGTTCTGAGCCCCGATCGCCTACACGATTCTTTCGGAAAGACAGAAAACCCCAAGATGAAAAAGAGGGTGGAATCATCTACTACTCCCAGCACAACCCCTGTGAATGGGGCATGGACAGCAATCC